CTGTTGTGTCATTTTCCTTTTGCATTTCAAGGACATAAGTCTTGAGTGAGGTTTTGTCATTTGTCCCGAGTTCTATTCTGACTGAACAATTTGTTTTCCATTTTCTCTTGGGGAATTGGTTGAGCACACAGGGGCGTGGCTGGCTCCGCTGCGTCGTTTCCTGCCCGCTTTTTCGGGTGTCAAAATAGTTCGTTTGATACATTTGTGGTTCTGCTYGGTGTGACAGCTGAATGATTGTGGTCCTTTGCTCTSTGSGAAGCGTGCTGCCAGGTCTTTGCTTCTGCTCACTATCGCTATTGGAATCATGCCCTGACAGTGGCGAGCGTCTCAGTTGTTTTAGTCMTGTAATCGTTCTCGTTGTTYGAGCTAYAGCATSTGAATGATTGTAGTYCTGTAATCACTGAGGCGGGTYGTGCCACARACTGGTTTTGCTCAGTATCGCTGTTGGAGTCGTGGCCTGACAACGGCGACCKCCTCAATTGTTGGAGTCCTTTACTCGTTCTCGTTGTTCRCCYYACAACCTGTGRATGRTTGTACTCGTCTGATTATTCCCATTGCTTGAGCTACAGCCTCTGAATGATTTTAGTCMTGTGTTAATCACTTTGGCGGGTGGTGTCACAGTCTTGTTTCTGGTCCGTCCTCGAAATGGTTTGTTTGCAGCAGTCTGAAATCGCTACCAAACGCATTGTTGCTCTCAAACTAGTCCCTTGAATGTTGAACATTTGTTTTGACGCCTACTTCATACAGAACAAGGCCTCTTTCGCAAACATGTCTTAGAGTCCTCCTCATATGGCCTCTTTGACAAACATGTCCTACACAGTTTGCAAGCAGTACAGTTCACATTTGTGCACCTATCCAGATTCATGCGATGGATCCAATCCACTTTGCTGGTCGGACCTCGGTAGTGCAGTGCCCCCATTCACGGTTGGAAGCTAACTCCAGAAGATGCCAAAGTACAAGATTACTGAGTCGACAGGTGACTCAAGAAGATGCCCACGCACAAGATAACTCTTGGCCAATGAAGTCCTTAAAAAACGTGATGCAATCAGTACTTCAACGTCACGATATCAGTGAGCGAAGGAGGAGAAGGAAAAAAGAGACGTGGAACGTGGGACTGGAAGTAGACATTTCTCACTTCTTCCTTGGGCTTCCCCTCACCGCCTCGTTGTCTACGGTGTTCAAGTAACGAGTAGAACAGTTCGGCATCGCATCGAGGCGCCACCTGGCACGGTCCAGACGAAGACAACGTCTGGACCGTGCCACGTGGCGCCTCGATGTGATGTCGAATTGTTCTAATCGTTATTTTCAGGACAGCATCGAACAGATATGTATTTACATCCCGTGCAGTCCACCACACATCCTGATCTTCCTCCACGTCGCATCCAACTCAACAATGAAGACAGGTGGTGAATGCCACGCAAGTAGACAATGTGGTGTGCGCCACATCAACAACTAGACAATGTCGCAACTTCCACATCAGCATGTAGACAGTGTAGCATGTGACACGTCAGCAAGTACACAGGACATCAAACGTCGCATCAGCGTGTAGATGGCGTGGCATGTGCCACGTCAGCAGAGGTTGGCACCGAGGAAAGGAGGCACCGGCATGCCTCTAGGGCTCTCGCGTCGTCGTCGCTATCTGCTTTCGAAGATGTCTTGGTACGTGCACGTCAACAAGTGCGTGTGTCTGACCGTCCGCCCCGATTGGGTCCATTTTTGCGTTGACTGCCGGTTCTCAAGCAGTTCACTTCGGTCAAAATACTGCACGTCCAGGCCCTGGAAAACACCTTCCCCCTGAGGATGATTGTAGGACTTTGTTACAATTCGACGAAAACTCCTCCCGGGCTGAATCATCGATATAGGACTATAAATCCATTTCTCTTTATCTCTGAAAAGTGTCTACTGTTTGCCATCGGGAGACCCTTAAAAAACTCTCTCCCAACAACTCCCTCTCCGCTTCCGAGGCTGAACGCTCCTTTGAAACGTCGCCTAAATAAAACCTCGCTCTGAAGGATGCCAAACGAGCATAGTGGGCTGGCGGAGCAACTGAAACTGATCTTGTGCAGGCCGCATATGTGTAACACAAATTACTTGTCGGAGTAGGGTGTGCACTCCCCCATGTCTTCCACATACCCCGTAGAAATCCTTCTCCCTGTACATTCTACCTCCGTTGACATCACATTCCGGCATCAATCGTGAAAGTTAGTCCACGGCAGTCAGCAGTAAAAACACAACCTTTTTTTTAAAGTGTCACTCAATTCCGGCAATAGGTGATCACCCGCTGTCTCCCAACAGCTTCCTCTCCGCTTTCGAGACCGAACGCTCTTCTAAAATGTCGCCCAAATAAAACCTCGCTCTGAAGGATGCAAAATGAACATAATAGGCTGGCGTAGCAACTGAAACTGATCTTGTGCAGGCCGCATATGTGTAGCACAAATTATTTGTTGCTCCCTCTCCGCTTCCGAGGCCGAACACAACCTTTTTTTATACTACCGCTTCCGAGGCCCTGCAAAACACAACAATCTTCCGGCTATCGTAGGCCACTCACCGTCCCCCAAAATCAGAAACCCGATGATGTTCCTGCAACAGTGCAATTATGATCCTATTCGTCCCTCTCGAAACGTCCGGGGAAATGACCACATCATAATGATTTATTTCCCACTTGGAGACAGTCACTGAAAAGTGCTTGGCTACGAGTACTCGCCGTTCGCCAACCTTGCCGTAATCAGGCTTCAGCACTCTGCTCGCTCTGGCGGGGCCCTTCTCTGCCAATGTAATCGCCTCCAACCTTGCACTGAGCGCCCTCTAAACTGCCGCTTCGGTAGCCAAACGTGGGGGAGGAGTTGCAGATGGAAGAGGTCCACCATATCCACCCTCCTAGCCCGCTGTCTCCCAACATCTCCCTCTCCGCTTCCGAGGTTGGACGCTCCTCTGAAAGGTCGCCCAAATAAAACGGCGCTCTGAAGGATGCCAAATAAGCATAATATGCTGGCGGAGCAACTGAAACTGATCTTGTGTATACCACATACGTGTAACACAAATTGTTTGTCAGACTGCTGTTTTTCTATGCTTTCTCTCCTCCTCTTCCTCTAGGACCCACAACTCTCCCCCATCCATTTCGCCACGAACTCCTCCAAACATCAGCCATGTTCAAAAGGTTTGCAACAGTTTTGCACTCCACCTTGTGCACAATGTTCCTCGTCCGGGTCGAGCTCGATCCAAGTCGGCCGGTCTGATGCTCTGGTAAAACCCCTTGTAGACCATGACTCCACCACCAAGGGGTTGATTGCCCGCCTCCTTCAAATATGATCAGCACTCGTCGCGGGTTGAATCATCGATATAGGACTACAAATCGATTTCTCTTTATCTCTGAAAAGTGCCTTCTGTTTGCCGTCGGGAGGCCCTTCAAAAACTCTCTCCCAACAACTCTCTCCTTGCTTCCGAGGCTGAACGCTCCTTTGAACTGCGCCCAAGTAAAACCTTGCTCTGAAGGATGCCAAACGAGCATAGTAGGCTGGCGGAGCAACTGAAACTGATCTTGTGCAGGCCGCATATGTGTAGCACAAATTATTTGTCGGAGTAGGGTGTGCACTCCACCATGTCTTTCACATACCTCGAAGAAATCCTTCTCCCTGTATATTCTACCTCCGTTGATATCACATTCCGACATCAATCCTGAAAGTTAGTCCACGGCAGTCAGCAGTAAAAACACAACCTTTTTTTAAACTGCCACTCAATTCCGGCAAGGGGTGATCACCCGCTGTCTCCCAACAGCTTCCTCTCCGCTTCCGAGGCCGAACGCTCTTCTAAAACGTCGCCCAAATAAAACCTCGCTCTGAAGGATGCCCAATGAGCATAATAGGCTGGCGGAGCAACTGAAACTGATCTTGTGCAGGCCGCATATATGTAGCACAAATTATTTGTCGGAGTAGGGTATGCACTCCACCATGTCTTCCACATACCCCGAAGAAATCCTTCTCTCTGTACATTCTACCTCCGTTGACACCACATTCCGACATCAATCCTGAAAGTTAGTTCACGGCAGTCAACAGTAAAAACACAACCTTTTTTTAAACTGCCACTCAAAGGGTAATCACCTGTTGTCTCCCAACAGCTCCCTCTCCGCTTCCGAGGCCGAACACAACCTTTTTTTATACTGCCGCTTCCGAGGCCCTGCAAAACACAACAATCTTCCGGCCATCGTAGGCCACTCGCTGTCCCCCAAAATCAAAAACCCGATGATGTTCCTGCAACTGTGCAATTATGATCCTATTCGTCCCTCTCAAAACGTCCAGGGAAATGACCACATCGTAATAATGTATTTCCCACTTGGAGACAGTCACTGAAAAGTGGTTGGCTACGAGTACTCGTCGTTCCCCAACCTTGCCGTAATCAGGCTTCAGCACTCTGCTCGCTCCGGCGGGGCCCTTCTCTGCCAATGTAATCGCCTCCAACCTTGCACTGAGCGCCCTCTAAACTGCCGCTTCGGTAGCCAGACGTGGGGGAGGAGTTGCAGATGGAAGAGGTCCACCATATCCACCCTCCTAGCCCGCTGTCTCCCAACATCTCCCTCTCCGCTTCCGAGGTTGGA